TATGCCTTACTATAGTATGATGTTTTTATGACTTTACTATACTATGACATTTTTATGCCTTAGTATACTATGACTTTTTTTGGCCTTACCATAATATGATGTTTTTATGATTTACTATACAATGAATTTTTATGCCTTACTATATTATGACTTTTTATGACTCAGCCTACTATACTATGACCTTTTCATGACTTACTTTACTATGATTTTTTATGCCTTACTGTACTTTGACTTTTTTATGCCTGACTATACTGTTAAATTTTTATGCCTTTCTATACAATGAATTTGTATGCCTTACTACACTATGACTTTTTACTTCTTACTATCCTATGACTTTTTATTCCTTACTATACTATGACCTTTCAACGCTTTTTATACTATGATTTTTTATTCCTAACTATACTATGAATTTACGATGGGGTGGCACAGTGTGCAGTGGTTACAACTGTTGCCTCACACCAAGAAGGTTCTTGGTTCAAACCCTGGGCCTGGGGCCTTTTTGTGTGGAGTTTACATGTTCTCCCTATGCCAGCATGGGTTCTCTCCATGTCATGCCAACTGTTAAATGATGGTCCAGAGTTGTTTGTCTGTGTCATTGCTCAATCACTCACTCATCCAAAATTATGTTGTGGAGAGGATTTAGAAGTGGACAGACACTACAGGTGCAGGCTCAGGTTAATAAGGTTTGCTGTGATAGCTCTCTAGGAGCTGCAGCCTGCAACACAAGCCTGCCAAGCAACATCCACAACAGTGGGAAAGAGCTGCCTGTTAGCAGCTGCTGCAACAGTTAGGGCAACCATGAATCACAATCAGTTAAAGGACTAAGCTGTGTTAGTCGTATATTTTCTGACCATCAACAAATCCCATGAAAAGATTAAAACAATGTGTTTGTCAATCTGTCACTGCTTAATCACTTGTTTTGGCTGAGTGATACAAGCCGATTTTGGTTCAGAGTGGTGGAAAGTTTGTTTCAAAACTCTGTGTGTGTAAAAATTGAAATCCACAATCATAGAATTGAGATCCACAAATACTTTTTTGCTTCAGAAATATAAAATTGATTCACAAATGTCTGTTTGAAAGTTGTAAATGTGAGGAAGATATTAATAAATGCTTTTCATTTATTTGTAAATTAATTGAATGTATTCACAGATACATTTTTTTATTTGTGGAATTTGTTTGTGTATTTGCAAATTCATTTTATATTCGCAAGATATTTTTGTGAATTTTCACATTTATTTTTTGTATTTGTGGAATGTGTTTTATATTTACAGATCACACATTTACGGATTTTCGATCTGTTCACACAGATAATATTGAAACAAATCTACCTTCATAAATAAGCTTCAGGGTGCATTTACACACAGAAATAAAAAATACCAAATAAACTATCTACTCTTGTTTGAGTAACATTTGCTAAAAACTACAGTGAACAGCTGTTTTAGCAAATTTACTCAGCCTTTTCTTAATGCAACAATATTTGTGACCCCCTTTTTTTAAAGATTTACACCTTCAGTATTAACCATCGCAAATAGGATAAGGAATTCAGAAAGCAGTGAGAGATTGACAAACACATTGTTTCAATCTTTTCATGGGATTTGTTGACAGTCAGAAAAATATATGACTAACACAGCTTTATCCTTTAACTGATTGTGATTCATGGTTGCACTAACTGTTGCAGCAGCTGCTGACTGACGGCTCTTCACCACTGTTGTGGATATTGCTTGGGAGGCTCGTGTTGCAGGCTGCAGCTCCTAGAGAGCTCTCACAGCAAACCTTATTAACCTGAGCCTGCACCTGTAGTGTCTGTCCACTCCTCGCTCCTCTCCACAGCATGATTTAGGATGAGTGAGTGATTGAGCAATGCCTTGCTTTCCCCCTCTTCATCAAAAACAAACACACGCACACATATGATTCTGGACCATCACTTAACAGTTGCCATGACAACGTTGAATACCCCTTCATTCCAAAACACATTGCAGACATTCTAAAAATAATGTGTGTTGTCTTTTCTCACAGACTCCTCTCCAGACGACAGCCTTCAGTGCAAATCCTCGTACACAATAAGGCAAGAATATGGAACTACAGGGAGTGATTAATTAATTACCACAAGGGAAATAAACACACACTGTATTTTACCTCGTAGCTTACTGAAGTTTGTTGCAATCTAACCATTGGTGACCTCAGAGAAGGTCAAGTCAGAGTCTCCAGTGACCAGACAGCTCTGGCTCAGTGTTCTGTAGGCTGAAGCAAGACATGGAGCATGGATCCAACATAAATACAGCAGACTCTTTGCAGGACAGAGAGAGTGAGGATACTGTTGGCAGTGCAGAGAGACAGATTAAGGCCATGTCAGCAACTGCTCCAACAGCAGAACAGACAGCCAGCTCACGGATGTGACTTTTACAATGATACAACCAAATTGTGTATATGGGAGAAATGAGCCCTGTGTATTAAGAAAACTCATCATAACGACCCTCCTTTCTCCACTTTCCTCATTACTAAGGCTTCACCTACACACAAATGTCTGTAAGGTGTTTACTTGTATTTGGAGGAAAATAAAAACAAAACAGTCCACATTTTAAGAACAGTTTCCTGATGATTTTTTGAAATTCTGTAAACAATAGTGATGTGACATTGTGCAGTTGCATGAGTAAGTGGGCTGATGTGCCTGAAGTCGCCCTCGTCTCTGTAGCCAAGGGCGATGAGCCATTCGGCGCTTGTATCTTATGTAACACTAAGGGATGGGCTGTCAGCGGGAAGGAAATCAGGCATTGTGTGATTGATTTCAAACGCTGACCATTGTGTTGTAACCATCATCAGTCTGTGACAAACAATCTGAGAGCAAGAGGAAAACACACTGACCTCGTTGAGCAGTAAAATATCCACAGAAGATTACTTTATTTAGTCTCCAGTAAGCACACAACATGTTTTCCTTTAAATTGTAGGATGTAATCCAGTTTACAAAGATTGCGTGCTTGTATTAACTAATAATGTGCCTTTTTTTTTTTTTTTTTGGTTGAAGGATAACTAGGTGAAGTTATCACTGTTCAGTAGCAGCTGATAATGATGAGGTAGACAGTGACACACCCAATATGTACAGAGTTGGATGTTAACGGGATAACATGCCAGTTGTCAGTCATGCCTGCTAAAAAGACCTAATGTCAGGTAAAGTGAAAACAGAGACATGGAGATCAACAACCTGCATAGGGCTGTGTACTGATACTAAGAAAAGAATCACTATAAATAATACACCACCTACACAGACGGTTAACAAACATTACACCTGTGGTCTGGAAAGTACAGACTGAACAGACTATGCAGGGATAAAATAGTTCAATAGAAAACTTTTATAATTATCTGTAAGGATTGCACATATAGAAGTTGATAATATTTCTATTATATTGATTCAATGAAACCCACTTAAAAGTAGCAGATTTGCCTATTAGTCTTCTTGTATTGGGTTCATTAACAGGAAATCCACATAAGGTTATATTTCTTGAGGATATACTGTACATCACATTTGGAAAAAACAAAAAAATCAATACTCTTTAACTAAACAAACATTTCAGAATATAAAAATAAACTTTATAAATGTAAACTCAGACTAAAGCGATAATAACCACATATCAGCAGCTTGGATTTACAGTTGTATGGTGTTATTATCTAATACTTGGCGCACTGTTGCTAAGTTACTTGGCATTAGGATCATGAATGTAAATAACAGCTGAGGATGATAAATACAGTGTTATGGCAGCAGTAATAATATGCACAGATTGGATGGTGTAAGCACACAGTATTTCTGTATGATTTGTTTTGTGTTCATAAATTGAGAAGATAATCGTCATCAATTAAGTTAGTCGCTGTTTCATAATCCAAAACAAATCCATGTAGACGCTCTGTGCTGGAGGAACACAGGCCACTCTGCTTATCTTCACCTCTAAAGCCGAGGTAATACTACGTTTGTAGCCACAACAACACAGTTAATAATCATCACGGATATAAGTGACTACAGTACAACAAAACTACTTTACACTGACAATGACTGGAAACTGAGAGTCAAGGAACAAAGATGTTATAATTCCTCCTAGGTGCCCTTTACTTTTAAACTCTAAAGGTCACATAACAGTCTATTCGTGAGAGTTTAACAGTCAGCTGAAGCCTATTGAAATCCTCTCAACCTCTACAGGGGAGAGCGAGGTGCACATGGACGCCTTATTAACAGTCATAGATCACTGAAGAAAGCTATCAGAGAGTATAACAGTTCTTGTCATTATCTATTGAAGATCATTTTTTAAATATGCTTTGTTTATCATCAATATGTTAAATGTTTGATAACAAAGTCACACACAAAAAGAGGTTTAGGGATGTGCAGTACTGATTTAAAAAAAAAAAAAAAAAACACAGTAATGATTGTGAATAAGGTGATGGGATTTTCTTTTTTTAAGGTCACATTGCTTTGTCCCAAAAGTTTGAACATGTATTGTAAAGTATCACTGTGTTCCAGTTTGATAGAGAGCTGCCGTGCTGGCCACAGTAACCATCACAGTTTGAGTAGTGTGTGATGCCTAAATATAATATCTACTGCTTCACAATTGTTCAACTCTTTTAAGATACATCACAAAGACCACTACAGTCACTGGTATCGTTTGAGTATATATATCAAAGCCATTATATACAAAGAGACTAAACTGTTTTCCTTTTTCTCAGTGTGAGGAGCTCAGATTACAGGTCCAAACTCAGATGAACCAAACCAGGCTGGCTCAGATCCTCACAGCATCATCTGGTAGCTAAACATCCACAGCAAAGAAAATAAACTCTGCGATTGGTTGATCCAATTGTAAAGTGTAACCACACCTTACATTCGCTACGCTATGCGACCCCACTCACAGAGCAAATGTACAGCAGCCAAAGCCTCAATGCTGCAAGTTACACAACCTTATTCCATGGCAACCATGTTGAGTGATTTGACAGCAACTGCTCAGCAGCTCCTGCTGCGCGCCTCAGTCGGCCTTGTCCTCGCCGTTCTTGGCCCACCCTCGGCTCATGGCGGCTACCACGATGCTGTACATGTTGAGCCAGGCCTGACGCAGCGGCGCCGTGTAGGCCTGGCCCAGACTGCACTGCAGCATGTAGAGAAGGGACTCACCCACCACCTGCAGAAGTAAAAAAGAAAAAGAAAAAAAGAACACAAATAGGAAAAAAAAAACATTTTTTTCACAGCTCATTCACTGTGAAATTGCTTTTTGTGAGTTGTGGAATAAGGTGTTGGTCCTACAGCAAATGACTGTGTGTTGACTCCCACTGCCTGATGCTTCCTCCCAAGGTTGAGGAGAAAGTCCTCCAAGGAGTGAAGGTCATCCAGGTGGCTGACTGCTGCATCGATCACAAGCATCACCTGGTATACATACAAAAAACACACACAGATACACGAGGAAAGTGTTCACAACTGTGCATAAGAAAAAAAAACTAAGGCTTCAAATGTCTGTATACTTGTAGCGGTCACTGCGGCAGACGGAGCTCACCTTGGTGACATGTTCCAGGAACTCAGGGCTGGAGAGGCAGTCTTGTGTGGAGCCACAGTTTGTACTGTAGTGGAAAAGACTGAGCAGCGCAGGGTCCAGCTCAAACAGTCTACCACAGACAAATACCACACTGTTCTATAGGTATATACAGGCGGCATGGGTTGCCAAACATCCACACAGACACAGAATCAATCTGTAAATCATACATCTACAAATCTCTCCTGCTAGAGTCTGATTTAACGGCAGCTGTCTCAAAGTAAATTGTGGATTATTGCAGTCTGTCGCCAAGCAACAAGTCAAGCCTCCGGTGCCTGCATGGTGAAAGTGTGCAGCGAAGGATCTATCATGATTCTCTCTGCACACCTGTGTTACATATTCTAACACCACAACTATGAAGCAACAACACAGAAAATAGCAAGAACATATTACTTACGCATTAAGCGTATTAAGCATGTTAGTGAGGGGCTAACTGTACAGAATAACAACCAAGTGTTTTCTTCTCTTACAAGTCACTTTATTGTCTTATTCTATCTGAATCATGCTGATTGTGTGGGACGTTACCTGGAAAACATGATGACACCATGTGGAACTTTGTTCTTGCCCAGGCTCTCCCAGCTGCCTCTTATCAGCTCCTTGTCCTTCCCTGACAGCTTCTCCATCCTCCCTCAGGCTGGTAACACGAGACAAGTTCTTCTAGAGGGGAAACACACAACTCCTCTACAGGACAAGAAGCCTCAGTTTGAGGAAAGCCATAATACTCAAGTGAATCCACACACGAAACTTCCGCCAACCCACCTGAAAAACAAAGTGGAGCATCAAGTGAGTGTAACACAACTGATTTGCTAAAAATGTTTCAGGGGGACACGGCTGTAGGAGATATGATGCCTAGGCTAGAGACGCACACACATACTGTACCTTCTTGAGGTCAGTCTTCTCTCTGAACTTCCTCTGGTGAAGCCAAGCTGAGGGGTCTGTGTGTGTATGTGTGTATGTGTGTGTGAGTGTGTTTGAGTGTGTGCAGGCAGCAGCCTTGCCTTACACTCTGGTGCACTTGCTCTCTTTCCCCGGCCCACGGTGCAGTCAGGGAGACAAGTTCTGCCACGCTCTTATCTGTCAAACTGGCTGCTATCTCTCTCCCCTTCCCGTTTGCCTCTTGATATGCTCTCTCTCCAGCACTGGGGATATTATTCATGCCACTGAAGGAGAAAAAGAGGGATCTCTCTCTTCTGCTCCAGAGAGGCTGCGGCGAGCCACAGCTCCTCCTGCAGGTGAACCAAGGACTAAAACACACAGAGACTCGACGTGCACACAACTCTGCAAATACTGTAAATACTTGGCCTTTGCACTTTTACTTTAAGATCAAGTGGATTCAAATAAACAAGAAATTAAAATGAACAACATAACAATATAAGAACCCTAAGCATTTCATATAGTGAAATTGCTGATGTTTTAACGCAGGTAAAGTGCATTTGAGGCCTATATCATCTATTCTAGGGTGTGTCCTCGGCTGCCTACATTTTCAAACCATGCATTTACGGAATTAAATGTGTGGGAATTTTAATATTGTACAGCGGCTAGAATAATAAGAGACCTGAACACACCACCTTGGTGAAATTATATTGTTCATCCAGTAAGTAGAGCCACTCCTCAAACAGCGTGATCATAACATTTGGTGGCCAAGAGCATGGCCTCTCATTAATCTAAATGAGATGTGTTTGTTCCCTTTCTCAGCCTCTACACACATCCACACAGCTCCACAGTTTGTTTAAAGACATGCCACAGGCGTCTGCTCCCTCACGGATTTCACGGATGCAGGTTCCCACTCGGATATTATCTAACAGGTTGGGCGAGATTGGTTTTGTTTTCAGCTGTGCAACGGGGAATCAGAGGTGCACAGTGTTCTCCTGAGGGACTATAAAGCAGAGAGGGGAGTGATACACGGTTCCCATGACAACCTGACAGAATGGAGCCCTTGAAGCTTTGTCATGTGATGTTTGAGATCTCAAGGAAGGGACTCTGTGACAATTTATTACATCTATATGAACCATGTGACAACATTTTGGCTTTTCAATGATTTTAATCTTTTTGATTATGCAAAATTAATCATAATCATAACATAGTGGACGTTTATCTGCATGGTACATTTCAAACATAAGATTTCCATAGTGTTACTTTAGGATAAATCACTCTGATTTCTACCGATATTTTGACCTGAACTCATGTAAACACTGACTTCAGTAGCTTCAACGTATGACCCACTAGCCTACAAAAAGTAACCATATGGTATGTACTGCGCTCCATGATGACTTTTTGATTATTATTATATTCATCTTCAGACATTCCCATGTGGTTTGTAAGTTAAAATGATCTTTCAGCTGTCTAAGGGAAAGTAAACAGTGAAGGCGTAACAACAAGAGTGCTTGATGTGGGTCTATGGGCTCAGAGCAAACCTCTGAACTGGGCTGTGTGAATGCAGATGCACAGTGAGGGCTGTTTATTTAGGTGGCAGTGTGGCTATAGAAATAATTGGAAGATTTAACCCAGCCATCCGAGAAAGGCCAATGTCAGATTGGTGTCCTTACAGGGTCTGTCCAATTAAAACTTTTTTTTTTTTTTTTTAAATAAACTAAATAAAATACATAGAGCAGTGGCAGATACAATATCTCACTGCATAAGTATAACCCCTTTTATATGGCTATCAAAAGTTAGAGTTGGTAAAACACAAATCAATGTCACAGACTTTCAACTGGTGTCCTAATTTTGTTTTTGAACTGTTTATTCTGGTAACCAAGTGTTCATCATCCTTGAAATTACAGTCTTCATATTCCTTAGCAAAATTGTTGTCATAAAACCAAAAGTAGCATTTTTATTTTCAGTTTAATCTGCTTGAAATGTTATGCAGATCTGTATATATATGTGAGTGTGTTAAGCTCAAAGCATATAAAATATTAATTACTTATAAACATATTCAGTTCTATAAACTTTTATTTTCTTCCAGTTGTAATTCCCGACATTTGTGACTGTAAAGTCCAGATGTTTTGTAATTTCATAATTTATGGTTGCACATCTTAAACTGTCAAACGTTTGGTGTGGATAGTTAGCCGTGACATGAATCATTTTTGAAGACAGTGTTGTTTTCTAGTGGAGAGGCCACAAAAAGCTCTGTGCCGCCTGAACCTTTTTGATCATGGCATTTCTTCCCCTTTGGACTTCACGCTCTCCTCTTCCACATCTTCAATTTTCTCCCCGTCGTCTACATTTTCTTCCCTAAATCAGACATGTTGGGTTAGAAAATGGCTATATTGTAATTACATCGAACTTTTACTTGGCTACAGTATTTGTCTTTTCTTCACTAAAGACTGCAGGGCAAACTCAGAAAATTATGTAATATAATATGACCGAAACCACATGAAGTCCTTGGCTCTCATGCAGCAGTGCTATTCATAATTTTACTGGACACACTGGGATTACATAGTGGATGAACAAAACTTGCTAAAAATTCTCACTCTGCATACCTGCTATGAATGTTATTTTCATTGCTGTGGTTATTTACATCATCCTCAGATCTGGATGAGACTGATGTTCCTTCAGTTGTTTCTCCATTTTCTTGAACAAATTGCTCCTTAAGGCCAGCTTTCCTCAGTTTGTCTCTGTATGTCTGCTCTGCTTGAGCCTTTGCATTTCTCTGCCAGTTAAAAACCCAAAGTTATGCCACTGGAGATGCATGTTATTTACAATATGATGTAATGTTTAAGCTTCATGTCACGTACCTGTTTCACCTGTTCGAACAAATAAGGGCGTTCACTAACTCGTGCCTTCATTTTCCGTAACTCTTTCATGTAGTCTCTCGTCCTTTGTCGGTCAGCCACGCTTTATGTAAGAAAAAATTATACTTTTAGCCGCTGTGGCTGGCGTGTGTGGTCGTTGTGATGTGAGTCACAAAGGTTGCAACATTGCAAGAATGAATTGTCTCTCTTGACCAGTACTCACATATGGTGCTTTAGTTTTTCATTATTTACTTCCTTCAAGCTGCTGTGTGGGTCCATCAGCTTTGCATGGAGGGCAACTGTCTTCTTCATGGCCTGGGACCTCATTTGGTACTTCCTCAACCAGTCTGCACTCTCTTGATTCTTACTATCCCTCAACTCCATTGACTTTCTGTGAAGGTAAAAATATATATCAGTAGATCCAATCATTTAGTGTGTAGACATTTTAAAAAGAAAAAATGTACTATCCAAACTTCAACAGTCATGCCAAACTGATCCAGTTCACCTGATGGCCATGCAGCGCTTCCTCACAGCATCTGTGATGTACAAGGGGAGTGTGTCTGTGGACAGTGATGTTAAGGTCCCAAGTGACTTGCTTCTACTGAGATGACTTATTTTTGGTTCCTGTCAATGAGAGGAAAAAAACTTTTAAAACATTTTTCTTAGCTCAAATCAAAACAAAATATATTGCTTGACCACATATTGCATAAACTTCATTAATTTAGAATGAACTTAAAAACCTACAGGACGTGATGTGTATGCTTTATGTAAGTTTTTTGTGAGAAGACAGAACATAGGATAACTGGGTTTGTGGAAAAAGCTGTTCATTTGCTGTGGTCAAAGCCACACAAAAAGAAAAGAAAACATCTAAACATCTTAAAGAGTTATTTTTACTTTGAAATCTTAAGTACCATAGGAAAATGAGAAACCATTACCTGCCTCTATAATTGATGACTTATATAAGAGATTAAAAAAACAAAAACAAAGATTTCTAAACATTGCACCTAGTAATAATAGATTTCCTTCTTACTTCATCAAAATGACAGATTAATTGGTGAGATACTGATGGTTCTAGGACTTTACAGCAAGACTGCTGCCTGCACACACACAGTATACTTTATAGATTCCCTATAGAATAATGGTTGTCAGTTTTATTATTTTTTATGAGAAACCACACAGTAACAATCCCAATTCCCCAAGTTAAACATGTATTTACAATATAGTCATTTAGTGAGGGAAAAATATAACTATATATAACCACTGGTTAAATCAGATTTTGCCCATGAATGTCTGACATGGTCCATAAAATAGAATTCTGGTAATTGTATAATTTTAGGCAGAGCCAGAGATATATGAAAGGAAGCCAAACAGGAACTTTCACTGATCACAAAGTTCATCCTACCACTTTGGATCCGTTTCAATTACTGTTTTTCTTCCTTAATTACTGTTATAATTAATCTTACTCTGTAATGACAAATTTCAATGAACATATATTGGATTGTTTTGAAATATGTGATTAAGCTCATAAAAAAATATTGCTATTTGCACTGAGGGACAAAAAGTGAACAAATATTTTATGTTTGTTAAGTACTGCAGAAATGGGGCTTGGGTTAAAATTCATAAATTATGAGCTGGAAAAAGTTTGAAATAGAACCGTTTAAGGAAGGGGAATAGTCCTTCTTTGATGATGTCCTAGTGTACATATTTTAAATAGCTTTTCAGTTCCACATCTGAGGGAAGTGGTCTGAACCGCCTCAAAAATGACACACTTGACATAAAAAAACTTAAACTGTACTATAAATCTTTTATCATCAAACATATTGCTCCCATGGACACATAAAATAAAATAAAAATTGACCTGGTCGAATTCCTTTGTCACATTTTATGAAATAAACACTTCTTGGTGTTGAGGGACTTCAGGAATACATAGTAGACCATTATACAATCAGCAAAAAATGCATGGTAATCATCTGTCCTAATTAAACCAGTTTCTGTACATTTAATGCAATAATTACTGACACAGACCTTTTTAAACAAGAAAGGAGGTAATCAGCATTATTTATCATCTAGAACATTAGGGCCTTTAAGGAACTTTAACGGTTTCCTGTCATCCTTAAAAAAGAGAAGGGTATTGACTTGATTAAGAGGTGGATGGATGTGTCTTGAACATCCATCAAGCAGAGAAGATGTGAGAGACTTCAAAAAATGTGATGGAAAACTGAAACATGAAACCATCTGGACCTGGATGTCTCTTTCTTATGTAAATCCTCAAGAGACACTGTCTTCTAAAAACAGACATTTCCCTTCACATTTACTGATGTGATATTCTGAGAAGTAATTAAACCAAACTGCATTATAAAGAATGAATGAGTAAAAGCAACTAAATCTGATCTGAGGTGAAGAAAATGTTTTACCTGTGAGTTTTCTGGGCTCATCCTACTTTGCCTTGCAGGGAGAGCTGATGTCCTGAGGTAGAAGGGTTGACACTTTGTCACTTCTTTACTCTGTGTTCTTCTCAGTGCCTCTGTCTGCAAGGCCTTGTGCAACCTGCTGAAATCAGGGATCTGATGGATGATTTTTGGCTGGAAGCTCGGCTTCTCATCCAGGAAACCCAGCTTTTCTTTCCTGGTGTGCTCAGCAATGCGAAGTTTCGGGCTGCAGGACGAAGTGGAATTCTCCTGTCGCTCTGTTGTGTGAGTGTGGACGGTCCTGCAAAGGTCTGCGCAGAATTACAGTCAGATAAGGTAGAAGCTGTAGTCATGTTTCTGTGTTGAGTGTTTTAGACGCACTTTATACATGTATTCAATATGAAACGGTATCAATTTGATGTGTAACAGTTTAAACAATTGCAATGTGTCTCTCAATTACAAGCTATAAATTCAAGACATGTTCAAAGTCTGAAGAACAAATGTATTTTATATAGGGCTCTTCATTGAACTGCTCACAACTCATGGACAAATACAATTTCACAAGCAAAAAAAGTTGGGAAACAGTGGCCTATATCGGTCAGTATATAGTATAATACACTCCACTAGCCAGCATCATCCCATTTGGAAGGAAACACATCACACAATCAACCTACCTTTCAACTCAGAATCTAGTGAGTCATTTTCTACTTTGTGAAGAGATTTTCTGACAGTAGGAATCTTGTTCTTCTGATCCTGTGAGGCTTGGTTTAACGTAGCTATCAGCTTCTGCCTTTTTTCCTTTTCTCTTTCCTGGAAGCTGAAAGGTTTTTGTATGGAGAGCAAAAAGTTCTTTCTCTGCTCATGACCCTGCTTCCTCTCTTTCTCTCTAAGCTCAATCACCTCCTGATAGAGGGGCTGGGTAACATGGTTGGGGACTGGGACAGCACAGAACTTCTTCTGACATTCAGCCTCGGCCTCCTCCTCTTTGCTCATCTGTGTTGTTTTAAATAAAGCTACCTGTTCACATAGTTGTGTCTTGGTAGGTGTCAGTGGGGAAGTACTGACAGAACAATGCTTGCAGTTTGTTGGAAATACCCAGGCTGGAGAAGATGAGTTAGGCCTCTCTGACTGTCTAAGATGATGGGAGGTCTCTTTGTCTGAGGTCAGGCCAGATGTAGAGATGGATCTCCTCATTCCTACATCTCTGAAAAATCAGTAAAGATATTTAAGAAAATGGGTATATTATAATTAAAACAAAACATAAAGGACAATCGAGCAAACCTACTTGGGCTGACGGTTGACTTCTTTTTTATCACTGGACTCTTGGTGTATATCTGTTGACAGGAGAGCGTCCTGATGAATCCTCCTTTCCAACTCCTCTGTCTGTCTCTTCTCTGACTCCTGCAGCTGCTGTCTGAGGGCCTCACTGAGGGTCTTCAGCTGCTGCTTAAGCATTAACTCTGATCTGAGTCCATCTTCCAGCAAGGCCTCTAGCTTTGACATGTTTCTCTGACAAAAAAAAACAAAAAAGTAAAGTAAAGGAGAGAAGGAGTAAGGAGAGTAAAGTAAAAAAGTAGAACGTGGAACTTTGTTTATTCCTGTAAATTAAAAACAAAAGAAAATGTAATCATTAATCAAGGGGAAATACCAAACTTCTTATGTTTCCATTGTTACAGTCACTTTGAACATTTCCAATAATAGATTTTCACACAAAATACATGCCCCCTTTTTAAAATAAACAAAAAATATAAATTGTCGGGGCGTCTATATATGGGGCGCAGGCGCCCCATATATAGAGGCTATGGTCCTCGCTGCAGCTGGCCCCCGGTTCGACTCCCGCATTGGACGGCCCTTTCCTGTGTGTCATTTCCCCTCTCTCTGCCTCCCCATTTCCTGTCTCTCTACTGTCCTGTCCATTAAAGGCACAAAAAAAAGCCAAAAATTTTTTTTTTTAAAAATATATAAATTGTCTGCCAATACTTTCAACCACCTTAAAAGAAATGTGCACACACCTACACAAACACTGACACAATGACAATGACAGACTTAATGTTGACATTACTCTGAACATTACTGCTGCAGTGGACAGTTTTCACTATTTACTGACGTTTTACAAATATAATGGAGTGCTTGTATTTTACTTCAGTATTTCCATTTGATGCTACTTTATATTTCTATTCCACTACATACACATTACAAATTGACAAATTAGTATCAGGAGTGTAATAATCTCACATTTAGTAATCACAGGCCATTTTACTGCAGAACCACTACTCTTACTTTGATACTTCAAGTATAATTCTCTCATAACACTTTTGAACTTTTACTTACAGTAAGTAGAATTTTGGATGTAGGACATTTACTCGTCATTTACATATTTTCAGTGGTGGAAAATAAATTTTGAGGTAGCCTATATGTACGTTACTTGAGTATTTTCATTTTCTGCTACTTTATAATTCTACTCCACTACAATTCAGATTTGATAACTTTAGTTACTAGTTACAGATTAATAAGTATGTAAAGTAATTGAAGTCAGACCCACTTTTACCAGCTGCAAAATGAATGTGCACATTGATCCATCAATAATTATAATCCGACAATATAATTATTCTGAAATGAGCCATTATACAAAATCAGTACTTTTGGCTCTGATTTAATTCTACACTGTGATATTACTACTTGTACCAGAACATTTATATACTACACCTCTGATGATTGATCAATTCATCGAAAAAATAGTTGACCAATTAATTAAAAATTAGAATACTCATTAGTATTTCTGATAATATATACTATGATATTGCATTGATATAAAAAAAAGTTACACACTTCAAACTCCACCTCCAGTCAGTCTGTGTGAAGTAGTTACCATGGTAACCAGACCTCTCTCCTACAGCAGTGTATGATGTAGATTTAGTGTTAGTATTTACCGTTAGCTATGCAATAATTTCAATATGTATTTACTTTTGTAATTATATACAAACATAGGTTCTATTTTCTACCACTTAAAAGCACATTATAGCCGAAAGAAATCAACGAAATTCAACTTAAAAGCAATAATGAGCCACCAACCTGGCAAAAGACGAGTTTCAGGAAGTAGTATTTCTCTGTCGAGGCGGTTTCCAATATCTTCCCTGACAAGATGCACTGCAAGACTTTAGTGCACTTTAGATGCACTGCAGCTAAAGATGTCTGTTGTTTATAAAGTTGACACCGGGTTAATATAACACTCGAAACTAAGCAAGTCTTCTCTACTTGTACTCAACCGTCAGTTTTTGGTAGCATTAGCACCGTCGGCGGACAGGAGCGGCAGCACCAGCCGTGACGGACGTCTTCTGTGATTGGACGTGAAACCGGAAGTACTTCCTCTGGAGCGCTTGTCAACAGAACATGGCAGGATTACACAGCTGCTCTTATTAGGACACATTCAAGGGGAATCAACTGTCTGATTGTCATATGAAAGTATCCAGGCTTCCGGAGTTGGACTGCTCTCACCTATTTAATACGCGGCTTGTCTCATATGAAGACAGGGTGACGACTGAATAATGCACAAGCTTTCAAAGGCGGCGCTGGCCTGTAACGGACTTGGCCGGTGTTTTATAACAGAGAAGCATGTATCTGCTGTAAAAATCATCAGACGAGGATTAGTGTGCGCAGAACATGGGGACGATTCTGGCAAGAATGACGTTTATGATGTTATTATATCCGGGGGAGGGATGGTTGGATCTGCAATGGCATGTTCCCTTGGTGAGTGATGCCCTCCTAGCACTCAGTGACCACATTTCAATGTGTGACAGCTATTATCAACCTGTCCATATCAAAACTAAAGGTAATGTTAGACGGCAGTGTAAGGTAGTACTATTTCCATTCACCCAAACCAGAGAGTCATATAGAAACGCGCCACAGTTATTCTAAAATATATTAAAAAGTAATTCTAAGATGTTATGTAACAGGAAAAACATGGTGTAAAATGCCTTAATTAAACACTCATAGCTACACCACAAGATGTTAATAATCTTGTAAGAATGAGGCTTATTCTTACATATGTGCTGTCATCTTTTATACAACATTTAAATACTGACAGGCATGGATCCCAACTTGATGGGTAAGAAGATTCTGCTGCTTGAAGCGGGCAACAAGAAAGTGATGGACAAGGTCCCAGACATCTACAGCACCAGAGTCAGCTCCATCAGTCCAGGTTCTGCCACCCTCCTCAGCGGTACAGTATACCCTGTTATGACCTAACACAAAGAAACAGCAAGTTTTGTTGTGTTTGGAATGACAAACAGAAAATAAATCAAAAAGTTATTTATGTGGTGATTAGCTTCCTTCTGTGAGAAGCTTGTGGTGCCAGACTAGTAAATGACTTCCACAAGGTAAGCCAGGGATCAGACACTGTCCAGTCACCCGGGCTTAGCAGGGATCATATCTGACCTCAGTTGTTCCTCTTCACCTCTTCACCTGGTCACCTGAGATTTCTCCTGACACAGTTTTTATTTTTTTCATAGTTGTGAGTTTTTCTATGGCCCAATTTTGAACATAAAGGTATCTCTCAGCGTTATAGATTTTGGAAGCCAAGGAAAGGGAGAGTCAGAGATGCCAGGTAGTGTAAATTTATCTCAGCTTAAAGAACGTGTCTGTGAAACATATCCTTTGTCCAAAATTACCGTCTCAGGTCTGGAATCATCGAAAACTAGCTGAAACATGAACATCAGTCCAGACCTGTGCATTTTGTTATTGCATGGAATTATGCAGACAACAATCATTAGGTTAAATTACTTTGATTGTTGGACACTTAAGTCCATCCACATTTATCCTGACTCATGTCTTAAAATAACATCAAGCACAGCATGTGGTCATCTGTACAGTTCAGGGATAAGAACATGGGCAGCAACAAATACAGCATCTCCCCAGTGGGTCCAATGCAGCATGGTAATATTTTCAGGTAATAATAATCTTGAAAGTGAGAGACAGAGGCTAAAGTTTTGCTTAACATCTCAAATAAATTCTGCTCCTTTGCATTATGTTTGAATAATTTATATAAATAATAAATAATTTTACCCCTTAATCTGATTAGAAACCTTATCTGATTTTGACACTGAAATGTTGTCAGGGTGTTTGATAGGAATGCAGTGGTGCAGTGTGAAGGAGTTAATGTGAAACATTGTGCTTGGCTGTGACAGCATTGCCTCCCATTGGCACCCGCGCACCAAGTAAAGACATAAATTGAACTTGACCCATGTTTGTGGAACACTGCTACACTCCTTTGTAAAGTTTCCAGACTTGGCCACGTGTCACATGAAACATTACATGGTGCTTTAAATTCTTATTGTATTGATAATGTAGATCCCCACTACCACATAGTGTAGGCTAAAGTTCTAGTATTTAGCATTTCAGTGTAATCTCATCACATAATAGTCAATAGTCAAGTTTACCACAACTTTGTGTCCTCCTTTAAACATTTACAATGTTTTTTTTTAACAGATTGACTTTGACTCATTCTCCTGAACAGTCGAAAACACATCCACATCACTAGATTCACACCTGGCTGTTGGTCCCAGTGCAGTTCAGACTTGACCCTGATAGACCCACATTATCTAAACATATTCTATTTTTATTCTTTTACAAAAAATATTAAGATTCACAGAATTCATGTTTTGATTGTGTAAGATGACTGATATGATTAGGATTATTTGTAATACACTGGCATGCATTGTTGCACTGAATTAGTAATGTAATTGTTTTGATGTATTTGTACACACAGGTATTGGAGCATGGGAGCACATTACAGAGATGAGGTGCAAGCCATATAAAAGGATGCAGGTATGTTGATCTTCAGTGCTCTTTTTGTTTTATTGCTTTTTTATCTGTACAGTAAAGTGCAGTAACTGCTATTGTACTGCTAAGTCAAAAGTTCAGAAAAGTATCATTTCAAGACAGAAAAAAACTGGAACCTTCTGCAACACCGAACAGCTTCCAAAATCCTTCTGTTACACAACTTGATTTTTTTCCGCATATATCCTCAACACTTTCTAATTTACTGGCATACTATATGTATTTCTGCCATCCATCAATCATAGCACCATACAATTTGTGGAGAGAAAAATCTGTGACACTCAGCTTCTACTCAGTCATTCAGCGTAATGAACAAGCAACACAATACTGTATCATATAATCATGTATATGGCATATAATTGTTCACATTCAAATGGCAAACAGTGGTTTCATGTAACATGCATTTTGTTCATTCCTTTGTACAATTTATGCCTTTTCGGTAGCTATGCTGGCTCTGTGGCACACTGAAAGCCAAAGAATATAAAGTATAGTTTAAAAAAAAAAAAACACTGTCTCAGTCACCCGGGCTTAGCAGAGGATCACTAATCTGACCTCAGTTTGTTTCGCTCTTCACCTCTTCACCTGGCTCACCTGAGATTTCTCCTGACACAGTTTTTATTTTTTTCATAGCTTGTGGAGTTTTTGCTATGGCCCAATTTTGAATATAAAGGTAGTCTCTCAGCGTTATAGATTTTAGAAGCCAAGGAAAGGGAGAGTCAGAAGATGCCAGGTAGTTGATAAATTTATCTCAGCTTTTAAAGAACGTGTTCTGTGAAGACATATCCTTTGTCCAAAATTGACCGGTCTCAGGCGTCTGGGAATCATCGGAAAACTAGCTGAAACATGAAACATCAAGTCCAGACCTGTTGCATTTTGTTATTTGCATATGGAATTATTGCAGACAACAATCATTAGGTAAATTACTATTGATTGTTGGCACACTTAAGTCCATCCACATTTATCCTGACTCAAGTCTTTCAAATATGAGTGAATACAGGCATCAAGCCACCAGCATGTGCCCGTCATCGATGTTACCACTTCAGGGATTCCAAGAATCTAGAACTCGGCCAGCAAACACTAAGTACAGCAGCGCTCTCACCGCAGAATGTGCGGTTTCCGAACAGTAGACAGCCGATGCATGTTTGGCCTGGTAATCATTTCATGGATAAGAATAATGTTATTAGGATGCGTGTAAATGCTTATGAACAGTTAGAGATACCAGAGGCTTAAAGTTTATGCCCTTAACATCTCTCGCACAATATAATTGCGTCTGGCCTTCCTTGATCTGCATTATCGTTTTGAATAAATTCCTATGATAAGATATTTGATAAAATAATACATTTTTACCCCTTAATCTGCATCTAGAAACCCTCTATTCTGATTTTTGACAGCTGAATAATGTTGCTCAGGCTGTGTTTGTGATAGGAATGCACTCGTTGCGTGCGAGTGTCGAAGAGGGTATGAATGTGCCGTGAACGACATCCTGTTGCTTGCTGTGGCGCACAGCCCCTATTCTCCTCGCCATTGGCCACCGCCCGCCACCCAAGATAAAAGTGAATCACTTTATCAACATGTAACTTCCGTATCCGCCCGAGCTGTGATTAACTCAGTGGAACGTCTTACACGGCTACACCGTCCTTTGGAATTGCTCAGACGTGTTTATCACGACTCATTTCTGGCGTCTCACTGTTGTCACATATGAACCAACCAGTAAGAATCGTAAGCATGGTGCATCTTAAATTGCTGGTATTGACTTAGATACATGTGATGACATCCCATCCCTAACTAACCACAAGTAAGGTGTGCAGGGCTAAAGTGTCTAGTATTTAGCATTTCAGTGTAATCTCATCACATAATAGTCAATAGTCAAGTTTACCACAACTTTGTGTCCTCCTCTTAAACATTTACAATTGTTTTTTTTTAACAGATTGACTCTTGACTCATTCTCCTGAACAGTCACGAAAACACATCCACATCACTAGATTCACTACCTGGCTGTTGGTCCCAGTGCAGTTCAGACTTGACCCTGATCAGACCCACATTATCTAAACATATTCTATTTTTTATCTTTTACAAAAAATTATTAAGATTCACAGAATTCATGTTTTGATTGTGTAAGATGACTGATATGATTAGGATATTTGTAATAACACTGGCATGCATTGTTGCACTGAATTAGTAATGTAATTGTTTTGATGTATTTGTACACACAGGTATTGGAGCATGGGAGCACATTACAGGAGATGAGGTGCGCCATTATAAAAGGATGCAGGTATGTGCATCTTCAGTGCCTCTTTTTGTTTTATTGCTTTTTATCTGTACAGTAAAGTGCAGTAACTGCTATTGTACTGCTAAGTCAAAAAAGTTCAGAAAAGTATCATTTCAAGACAGAAAAAAAACTGGAACCTTCTGCAACACCGAAACAGCTTCCAAAATCCTTCTGTTACACAACTTGATTTTTTTCCGCATATATCCTCAACACTTTCTAA